TTGAGCAGTTACAACGCCTCCACATGTTATTTCCTCGCGGTTCCGAAAATATCCTATGAGACGAATTCCCAGTTTTTCATGAGAAATGAGCATGCGGACCGAAGCTAAAATTATTGAAATAATAATAAAAAATAGTGGTTTTTTCAATTTTGGTCGAGCAAACAGGAATGCGATCGCGGTAGCCGAGTGGTTGGGATTGCATACTGCCATTCGGAAGGCTCGAGTTCAAATCCAAAAAAAGTTGTGGAAAACTAATTTTAATAAAAAATTAAGCTAAATTCTCTAATTGCGGTCGCTCCTCGGCAGGGTATGTCAACGCCTCCGAGTGTATTTCGGACATGAAATAAAACTCCTCATAAAAAACCATCAGCCGTTCGGAGGTGGCCTAGCATAAACTGCAGGTCCCTCCATTTCCTGGAAAAACATCAAGACGCAAAACCACAAATTGGTGGAATAGCTCGGCCATGAATGGCTTCAGCGGCTTATATATATATATAATAGGTAGGTAGGTAAACCTAATCACCTAGCTAGGTTGTACGGTGGGTTTGGGATTCTTTGCACTGTACCGCTGAACAGCTGCTTGTTGTCCCCATAAGATTAAAGGCTTAAGACATGGTTGCCAAGAAGACATAGTGAAAGGCAAACTATGTCGCCAAGTACTGGCATTCACACCGGTGGGCAAGTGGGTCGTTACAATCCGCGCCAAAGTGAAATTATACAACTTATCGCAGGCGTGACCAAAAGGGCTTTTGGGAAATTAAGTTTCCAGAACGAAGTATTTCCAAATATGTTGAGGCTGATTGACTTCACCGGGGCCCATAATGTGATTTTTCTGTTACTTTTTTGTTTGGGTATCGAAAAACTCGCAATCAGATCGATAATGTTGTGATAGACGTACGACATGTCTTCAGTATTTTTGAAATACGTACAACTCGAGAACCGAAGATCGACTCTAACTACGCATCCGCATCTGTGCAGAAAAGTACGCCCATCAACAAACACAAAGAGGGTTCTAATTTTCACTCCTGTTCTCTGGGCATACACATCAGCAACTCGATATAAAGGGACTGTGGAACAACAGCTCAGCTCCCTACGTACAGCTGCAAGCGAAATTATTGGGTTTCGAAAAGGTCGCAAAAAAAAAACGATACGGGGTGGGATAGATGCCGCGAGCTTAATAGCGACCAATTTGCAGATAAAAAGAAAAGAGGTCCTGAGGAGTGAGTTCGAAGAGCTTGAGGAGCTGGCCGACAAGGGTATAGTCCGAAAATTCTACGAAAAGATGCAATAACTTACAAAAGGTTTCCAGACCGGGACAGAGCTGAACTACTGATTTCCGGAGTATACTAAATTTATGGAAGAAACACTTCTCCGGCCAGCTAAAATCAAACATCAGAAGATGGCTAATCCGATCGAAGATGATGAGTAGATTTTCCACTACTCGACTACTAAGAAGTTCGATTAGCAATCACCCGTCTGAATATAAGCAAAGCGGTGATGATCTATGGATTACCGACAGAGCTTTTTTAATAAGATACCAAAAAAATTGCAAAGTGTATACATCAGAACCACTGTTGGCGTATGTCACGAGACTGTTGCCTGAAGACGTATCAAATGTATGGTGATCTGCCCATTTCCAGGAGTGCCACAGACGCTGAATCAATGAGCTGTGCGATATATACAACCACATTGATAATGCGAGTGAAGAACAGCAGCTATGCTGACGAGGCCACGTCGTCCGCATAGCTAAAAACCCCACAGAGCAAGACTTTCACTTCGTTAGGAAGATTAGGTGGGAAAGGATCTCTTTTAGTGTTTTAAAGTGGCGTCAATCTACGAAGTAATAAAAACGATTGAGCGAAGTCTACGCAAATCAAGAAGAAGAACGCCACGTAAGGTAGTAACCCTAAATTCAGGGGAAAGTAAATAAACAACCAATATAACTTTTGAAAAGACCAGATCTTAAAACTCTTTTTAGAAATCAAAAGTCATAAAGCAGAAAATAAAAATTAAAGACTTTCCTTATTTATTCTCGAACTTTTGTCAGTTCCCTCCTACACACACATAAAGCAATCCAAATCCAAACCAACATTAAATCTACCCTGAAGAGAAAAGCTAAACTGGTATGAAATATAGTATAAATTGTAGTCATTTTGCTATTGGGGTTTTCGCTTTTCCATAAAGACGACAGCCGATTGAACAGGTTGACGCTGCGAAACAAGAGTTAGGCTTCGAATCTTATTAAAGACAAAGATTTCACTCAGTCTCTCTCTCTCTCTCTCACTCTCTCTCTCTCTCTCTCTCTCTCTCTTCATAATGGTTTACAAGCATTATTAATTGGACTGGTATTTAACTAGTATCTTGTTGATGCATTCGAAATTTTGCACATACCTCGGACAAAAATGGTTATCTAACAACCAGCGCTCTGTCCTGCCGGGCAATCAACTAAAACTAAACAAATTCGCCAACTCACATAACACCTGTCATTGGTAAAGGGTAAAGCAGGCACTCAAGCACTAACCTCCTGCCGGACACTCGTCTTTCCTCACACACGCATGGATGTGTACTGGTGTGTGTATGTGGAGCTCTATTGAGAAATTATTCAGCAACTCACTATATCTGTTGTTTAGCTGTCAGCAGCGTGGCTATGAGTAGCAGATATCGTTTCGTTCTCGTATTATGGCTATTTGTTGAGTAATGTTCACAGCTTTTATTTATTTTTATTGTTATTGTTGTTGCTTAGATTTATGACTAGAAAAAGTTTACGCTTTCATTAAAGTTTGTGGCACGAATGTCCATTCGGGACACTGAGACAGGTGGGTTAATACTTACATATACAAGTGGACCTGCTTTTGTTACTGTTGTTATTGTGGTTGTTATTGCTGCCGCTGTGCTGGTGTTGCGGCTAATGCTTGGCTATTTCAAATAAGTTTTGCGTAAACTTTCTTAAATGAATATCATCTCAATATGTTAACGGTAGTGATGTGAGTTCAGCTTTTGGTTAACTTCATTTTTTAATTCAATTGGAATTTTATGTTTTTTTTTTTGGCTTAAATTCCCATCTAAGTGGAAAGGGTTCTCGACCGGATTTATGTCTCGTTGATGTGCGATCACACACCTCCTCAGTTCTTCAGGGATGGGATATTTCTGAACTTTGCAAAAAATGAGAGATAATGAGCTCAGATAACGGCCTCTTCCTTGGCAGAAAACATGATACGAACTCAGCTCAAATTTGGTGATGGATTTGTAGTAGAGGGCTGAGGCTTTCATCTCTCACCATCGCTCACTGACGTCAGTAACGCATCATTACTACTACGCATCAAGACGAATGTTACCTGCTGACCTATACGGGGTTAGGTCGCCGAAAGAGTGGCAATCCTTGGCAGGATAAAATTCGTGTCAACTCCTGGGGTAGAACCGGATGTCGTGAGAGTTGAAATAGTTAAGAGCGGATCGAAATCCTCAACCGCATCCTAAGATAGCACGCCAAGACATTGAAATGGAAGAGTATGGAAATAAGAAATGGGCAAATGCCAACCTTCTAATGTATTAGACAACGGTCACATGAGCAACATCATGATCCAAACCTTTTTTCTCTTATCAATTTGAAGAAAACACAGCTTCTTGATATATAACTGACCAAGTCCAATATCAGATTATCTCCTTAACTTATCTTCTCAATTTTGTTGGCAACATTTAAAGCAGTTGGCCGGAGGCCAGCTACAAAACACCGCCATCAGGACTGTAACCGGAATCGTCCTTATGTCGCCACTCGAACAGCGAAGCATATATGCGACGAGTTAAGGAGCTGAAATTCTACCGTAAGTAGCACAGACAATTGCTTACTCCTATCAGAATGGTAGTATACGACTTTAAGGCCTACGGACAGGCATTAAACGACATTCACATAGAGTCCGTCAACATCTGCTTGAACTCTCTTTCAGTGAATGGCGTTCTCGGATTCAAACAACCACACATTGCAGACGAACAGTTGCTTCGAAAGTTCGTTATACTGGCACAACTTAGATCTGGATGTTGTAGTCGAATAAAATCCTACCTATCTAGACTTGACCACAACAACCCAAATTATCTTACCTTATTTACCTGTCGCTCGTTTGCTGGAGTTCTCATTAGGTGACTTCGTTGATTTCAGCTTATCTTACCTGCTCCTAAGCGGAGCTAGCGAACCGTTGCAACAACAACATTATTTAACCCCTCAATTTACCAAAATAGGTTAAAAAAATTGAAACGAGAGAGTTGAGCTGGCTTATGAGAACAGGACTAGAAGTACAGTAGATTTGAATTTAAATCTCAAATCGATATGAGATAATGCCGAGTATTACCTTATGAAAAAAGAAAAAACCCGTCCACGACTTGGAGCACTTTACTTTGATATCTGAGGAGGCAAGCTACATCTGAATATAAATTGGTTTACTAAACTGAAAATATTCCAAGTAACCTCCGAGAACGTATACTAACAGTAATATACGTTCATTGATAACCTCAATTAAATTCGTGAATGTTGTTAAAAGCTTTAACAAATTCTTTGTTTTAAATGTCACCCTGTAAGAGTGTCTGTCACGCCACCTATTGTGCACTAGTAAAGGTACTTGGTTTGGAGTATGTCTTGCACTCTTTCTTACTAGCTGTGTTATTAAACATTCTCTGCTGTAGATTCTCTGCTGTAGACTAGTATTACTTGTTCTCTCTCAATCTATGTGCAGGGTGGCGTTTCGCAATAAGTAAATTCATATATCCATAAATTTTCTAATATTTTGTACAAATAAGGCTTATTTTCAAAGCAAATTTGAGCTTCTTCGTCCGAAGCCCAAAAAATAAATTTTCGTTTTATAAAAACGAAAGAAATGTATAAGCGAAAATACAAACTAGTGTAATACGATTTGGTTGAAAATGTCTAACACTTTTCGTATTTCGAGCCAAATGAAATACAACCCTGATAACCTTATCTGCCGACAAGTTCACTGTCTGCTGCGTTTATTTCGCGTTGAGCACGATAAATAGACGGACGTTTTGTGATTGTCGCGTTCACCAACTTTTCGAAGGGGAAAATTGAAGGATAAAATTCATTTTTATTTCCTTTTCATATATAGTTTCAAAATTGAACAAAATGAAATTTCGAAAGAATATTAAAGTGAAAAGTGGAATAATTATTGCCTAGCGTAAAACTGTGAGAAATGGACTAAATTGAATTTATTCTACATGAAATGTAACGAAAAATCTGGTTAAAGTTTTTTTTTCTGCTACCACGGAATGAGTGAAAAGAAGGGGGCACAAAAGCAAATAAGAAAAAAAAATGACCAATTTGAATGAGTGAATACGTGAGCGAGCGAGAAATAACATGAGAGCGTCGTTGAGTAATTGAAAACAAAAAACAAATTTACAGAAAAAATCGAATTCCTTTGTAGGTGTGTATTTTGACATGCAAAAGATGGAAAATAAAGTGTAGAGGCAGAAAAGCAACAATGAATGGTAGAAAATTCTGCATTTTGTGACTCCGGGAAAAATATCTAATGGTAAACACATAAATAATAACAGTGAAAATGTTTAACAAATATGTATAGAAACAGAATTCGATAAGTGTCCGTCTTATAAATGCAATAAGAACAGCAAATTCTACAATGTGTCGAATTGGAATTGGGCATTGCCAATTAGCAAAACAAGTGAGTTTGTGTCGTTAGGTGCGGAGGTGAAAATTATTATCTTGCAGTTGTATATGTATTTATTTAACATGAACGCAGTTTTCGTCTACGCAAAATCAGCGTTAGCACATGTGACTGGGCGAAAACATTGTTGTGGGTGGCGTTGGCGTTACGTTATGCGCAGGTTACACGGGCGTACTCATACACATGTATGTATGTAACTTCTGCTATGATTCGGGAAAAATGAGGATGGTCAGGAACAAAAGTACACAAGAAAATTTGCTTTGGAAATTGCTTGCGGATTATCTATTTTTAGATTGACGGTGTTGGAAAGTATTGCGCTCACTACACTTCACAAGTCTCATTATCGCACTGTGTTCTGTGTATAGTGCGCATAAGGGTGTGAGATTTAGTTCATTAGTTAATAAAATATACCATATTTCTAGACTATAAGGGAATATAAAAGTTCAAATCAGATTAATTAATGGAAATATTAATATAATACTCTCCGTCAAAGTTGTTGAAGCTTGTTTGTTTGGTTATATTAATACCTCATAGGTTATCTTTTTTAAATAAGAATTGATCAGGTTTAATGTGTACTATAAATGTATACATATATGTATGTACCTATTGCTGTGTTTACGGGTAAATATACGCTCATATTCGTTCTTAACACTCTCTGTACAACAGCGCTCTCTATATTTTTTTTCTTTAAATGTTTTGTTATTATGGAGACCGGGCCAACACACCAAACCGCTCTACACCTCATCCTCATCCGGTCCCACCTCTTCCACAAAATCAAGTTTTGCTAACCAGCTCGTTGTCTTCGTCATCTTCGTTCAGTCGTTCGTTCACTCGCTTACGTAGATTTTTATTGCCACAACCGCCGCTGCTTTCGGCTGCTCGTGTTGTTGTGTATATATTTTCTATTTTCCTCAATGAATGAAATATTTTTCACGGTAAAATGAAAAGCACACGCGCCCCAAACCTCCAGTTTGTAGAGTCTGTGTAGGTGTTATGCCTGTACATATTTATGTATGTATAGCGGGTATGGGGTTGTGTTATTGCTAAATATTGAATCGCTGCGAGAGGCTAACTGGGCTGGCTGGCCGCCTTTCTTTGGGCTATGTACATACTCGCAGGTACCTATGTATAATATATTGAGTGGCTGCCTAGCCGAACAGGTCGGTCGTTCGTTAAATTGACTACCTACTATTGTCTATCGAAAATATACATAAATATAGTATGTATTTACAAAAACAATAAAGCATACCTGCCGTCGAAAGCTCAGCAAATTGGTGCTCTCCAAATATAAAAACAATTATAAAGATAATTTCAAATAAGGGAATACGAAAATTATCTGTCTTTCTCACTAATAAGCGTGTTTGTTATATGTATGTATATCTTACGTTTGCACAAGTATATTAGTGTTTTATAATGTTTTGTTCTTTTAGAAATAATCGATTTGATCTAAAATAAACAGTGATGGAAAATGTTGCAAGATTAGAAAAAAGTTAAACAATGAATAAGGTACTTATTGAAGTCATACATATGTACATATGTATATAATAAATTTTAATAAAATTGTGCATATACTAATAAACTTATTTACATTGAAATATGTGCAAAATAGTGTAAAATAATAAAAAAAAATAATAATATAATGGTGCTTTAACTCATACATACAGACACAAAGCTGTATTGCATAAAGAAAATATAGTAAAAAAAAAAAAAACAAAATAGAGAAGTAAAAAAATTATCAACTGAACTAATGAGTGATCCTTTGAGATTAAATATGGAACTAAATTGAAGAAAATCAGGAAGATAGACTCGTGAAGGTCAAATTAAAAACATTAAGTAAGTACCTATTAGTAATGAAAACAAAGCAAATTGAAATTCTCAATGTAAGTACATACATAAAAACGTATGTATGTTAATATTGGAAATATATATACCTTTAGGGAACGTGTGCTACTGAACGGACACGACCTAGGTTTTTTATAACAGAAAATAAGAAAAAAAATTTTTTTTTTCTTAATTTCCTCTACGGATGAAGTGTTTCGAAGTGATTTTTTTTAATTCCCTTTTTTTTTGGTAAATCTGACTGTCGGGTTTATTAAAGGGAATTTAAGCTAATTTTCAATATATTTACATACGTACAGCAAAAATGAAAGAAGAGTCCGACGGGAAGAAAAGAGTAAAAAGACAACCTTTAAAATACAATTAAAAATGAAATTAAAATGGGAAAAAGTCTTTTTTCTTTTTAAAATACCTGAACCATTTAACAATGTTGTTGTTGTTGTTGTTGTTGTTGTTGTTGTTGTTGTTGTTGTTGTTGTTGATGATGATGATGATGAACTTTTTAGGAAATGTAACGTTAGTGAAAGTCCTTGGAAGGATAAAAATCAGAGTCGTTCCGGTATAAAGACCCGACTGTCGCGGGAACAATTGGATTTTAGTCGCCTCGCCTCTTACGACAGGCATGCCTTACCGCGGGTAAATTCTTGAACCCCTAGCCCTCAGGGGGGCATTTAACACTGTATTACTACGTTGTTGATTTACTCTCCCTTTTGAAAGGTCGTGGGGAGGTACTATTTCCGGCTTCAATGGAAATGTAGTAATTTGAGTTTAGTCCAGATTGTGATTAACCAGTTAAATTTTTAAACATATTTTATGTTATTACCTATCTAATTCTTTATAGTTTTCCAAACAGTTTTTTTTCTGTTGTTGTCTCAAAAATATTATATATAATCCTATCGTGGTAACTTTTGGACTTAATTCGCCTCTTGCCTCAACACCGGAAAAATGTTTATCTCCACACTGTCGTTCCTCGTTGTTTTTATACATATTTATGTATATGAATAGCATTATTTTTCTAATTTGGTTTCTTTACTATCAGGCGCTCCGTCAAATCGGAAATACATAAGCCGGTTCTTATTTATACTTCTTCTTCTGTTCCTTGGAGATGTATGTATGTCTGAATTTAATTCTTATTGGCCTCGTCTAACTTGCCATTCCTCAGTACAAACATACCAAAACATACATTTTAGCAATTCACTTTGATCGGTTTTCCATTTGTTCGTAAAATACAGTATTGTGCAAAACATATGCAACTAGGTATAACCAAAAAAAAAATTGATTTATTTCATTTTTTATCAATTTTATAGATTTAACTATTATGTCCACCCATTCACCGCCTTCACCATGCTTGAAAGTAAGCACGATATTTTCCTTATTTAACCAATAGCCGAGCATACGTTGACCTGACGGTGAAGATTAAATTTACTCTCTTCTCTTTTCACTTTGCAGCATAAAAGCTTACATATTTACGTGCTATAACTAGCTAAATCGTTAGTTTTGGGGATAAAAAAAAGATGCCACTCGTACATCTTTTTGGACAACCCTAGCTTTTAAGGCAATGTAGCGAGTAGAATCGTTGCAACTAGTGATAAGGCTCCCTTGTATATACAAAATTTTGAATAAAGAATGCGATTGCTCGAAGCTATTCTATTCTGACGAATGAGAAGAGAAAACATTTTACTCAACCACTCGTGACATCTCATAAATGTAAGGACTTAAATATTATTTAAAAGCTTAAGGTACCGTCAGAGGTAGCAATTTTTATAATTGTTGTTTTTATATATGTAAGTGTTTTTTTTTGGATAGGTTTGTTTGTCTGATTTGAATATTTTGCTATACAACAAAGAAAAATGGTAGTAGTGATAGCTGTTTCGGAGTTCACCGCTTCTCCTCATCAGACTTCTCATGACAGGGACCGAACAAACGGATCCTGACTTAACCGGCGAGTGCTCTATCACTGCGCCAACATCAGCCATGTAATGTTGTTTTTGTATTGTATTTCCCTAGCGTATTTTATTGTCGAAAAATGTCGATATCAATTTCGACGTTTCTGCAATTTAATTTCGAATAATTGCCAAATTTTATTTCTTTGGAATTGCTATCAAAGAATTTGACTAGTTTCGTAGAAGATGTTTGATAAATTATTGTAAATTGACCAATTTCGACAATTTGAATATCAAATTTCGTGTGACTACAGTTGAAATTAATTTTTGAAAATTTGGCATTTTCGACATGCAATTTGAAATTAATTAATTGCTGTGTCTGACGGCATCATAAAAATTGTTTAAAGAAGAAAATTTAAAATTATTCACTACAAACAGTGCAGTTGCATATGTTTTGCACAATAGTGTATATATATATATATATATATGTATGTTTGCATGTACATGTATGCATATTATGTATGCTGACTTCATTTTATTTTATTCTTTCTGCATTATTCCGTCCTTTTATGCCACTTCCGAAAGCTGCAGCTCATGCCCAATCCCTGTCGTAATCAACCGAACAGCCGCTGCTATCATCACTTCCAATCGTTATATCCAACGAGTACGTGTGCACCAGAATTCGCAGTTTGTTCTCAAAAGTGTGTATATTGGTTTTAATATTTTTTTTTTATGTGTTTGCTCCATCGTGCTTTGCACAGACTGCTTCTTGCGAGTACTACTACGGTGAAATACTCTATGATGTGCGAACGCACTTCAATTCTGTGGTTGTGCAATAGTATCTATGTACGTATGTACATATGTTGATGTGTATATATTATGTTATTCTCTTTTATATTCTTTTGTATTTAAGTTTCTTTTGATGTTTGTTCATTGCTGACTGACAGAAACTCTTATGAGAGGCAGCTCCAATATATGTTGCAAAAGGCCTACCCTCGTCGGCGTTCTATTGCTCCAAACAACATTGTTCTTCCGTCTTTTACAATTCGCCGTGATTGGGCAAGGGTCGTCGTGCCTTGTTGTTTACCACTTTCGTTGCTGACTTTTATTTATACATTTGCTTGGACCTAATCATTAGTTAGTTCCCCTGAAGAGCATTTGTTTTTAGTTCCACTGGGTTGTACATTTTGTTATTGTTCGCATTATTCCTTATGCAGATTTATCGTTGCAGTGCTTCGTCCTACCAATCCTCTTAAATGAACAGTACGAATGAGCAAAATAATGTTTGGAGTGTTAATAAGAATAACAAAAACGAAGCGATGTTTTCGCCTTTAACTAATTCGTCACGTCCTACATAAGTATATTCAAATGTAGATTTTGGGGAATTGGGAACCAGGCATAAGGACTTGAACCACCTGAGCCTGCCGAATGACAGTATGCAATGCTTACCACTCGGCTACCGCGGCCGCCTTATACTTGATTACCAGACAAAAAAAAAGAGAAGGAACTGAATTTTAAGATAACAGTTTCATTGGCCTCCACTTGAGAGCTGAACAAAAATTGAGGGTCATTAGCATGTGGAAGAAATTTAATCGTCATTTTACCCTTTTCCACATTACCTTAGGAAATCGCCCTGAAGTTCTAGACTGGTAAGCCAGGTTAGTTACAGCACGCAAATAAAACAAAGCAATGCTTCCAAAAAATCTAACCGTATAAAATAGCAACACAAGAAACGTGTTGTTTTAGTAGTTTCACGATTATCTTTCTCCCCTGCTGGACGAAGGAGCTCCAGCTCGTACTCTTTGTGATTGTCGGTGGGGCTGAAATTCCCAAAAGCAACAGCCCAAAGCTACGAGTCATGGAGCATAATGCAAGTAGCCTAAGAGCTAACGTCAGGAGCACCCCCACAGGCATTCACCTAAAAGGTGCTAGTCTATGCCGACTCCAGCTTAGTAAAGATCTGTTGGACAGGACGGTGTACCGAACTATCTTGTGACCTAAACTGAAAGGGTGACAGGCTTTGGCCGGATTAAATCCGGGTCTACTCCGCAAATAAGGTTTGACTCGACCTCGACATACTCAACTAACTAGTTGCCGTATTTATAACCTCTTTGCATTTCCCTTAAAACCTCCGATCCAAACCTGTCGAAACAGCTCGTTTCCTGGGCCTCCCGTTGGATGAACTCGGTGTCTTAGATTGATCACGAACCTGTCCCCAAACGGGGTTAACAAAACCGCTACAACATGAACCCTCTTCCACTAAATGTTGTTCTCGGAATCGAAGCATCACCTATTGTAGGCGAAGACAACAGCGAGCTGCTTTGAATGACCCAACTAATACTAGCGGTATGATCCGAACGCGTCGAGATAGACCTCAGATTAGTATCGCCTGTTCATAAGCGGGGTTGCTGAATTTGCTGCATATAGGACGTATGTCAGTGGGTGTGTTATCTGATCGATTGGCAACTTAAACTGCCCCAATATCCAGACCTTAAGGTGTCTCAGATGTAGCAAATAATTAATTTCAAATTGTTTGTCCTCTGACGGCACCTTCAAAGTACTAAGATCACTCGAATCTCACGAGTACGTGAGACACAAACTTGGCATAGGCGCGGAGTACATTTGTCGCATCTACAATATGAAGCTAAGAACGTCAAGATACCTTTAAATAAAATGGGAAGCTGTGTAAGAAGATGAGGAGTATTTGAATACTGCCATTATCCCAAATCAGCCTTAATATCTGCGCGCCATCAGTTTCTTGTGTAGCACTTCTTCGACTGTCTTGCCAAGTTAAAGTCAATGAAAATTGGATATTTCGTTGTTTTTGCACGAAATAGTTCTTCACATTTGAGAAGGTGAAGACAGGAACCTCACTGCCTTAACACAAGGGGTCTATTGGCCTAAGTGCCGCAGTGTTGATCCCCACTCAATCTGTCTGTCTCATGAGACTGCTCGAGAACTTCGATTACAAAGGCTTGTGTAGCTTCAAGTCCGAGAGAGAGAGCGACAGAGAGAGAAAGAGGAAGTGAAAGAGAGAGAGAGAGAAGCAAAGAGAGAGAGAGAAGCAAAGAGAGAGAGAGAGAGAAGCAAAGAGAGAGAGAGAGAGAAGCAAAG